GCCCCGAGCTCTGACTCTCACTTTCAGAGGTTAGGAGGTGATGAAAGAGGACATGTTAGACTGGTACACAGGGTGAGGAGGGGCAGACTAGCGAGAGTCCTCGGAACTCACCCCTCAAGACTCACCTGGGACCACCAGGGGGAAGGTGTGGTTTTTCTCAGACCTTAATAAAGGAGGGAGGTGGTGGGAGAGGGCTGGAGGGGACAGGGTGGGTGCACTGGGGCTGCAGATCAGCCCAGGGGCTGGTTGGGGTTGCCTCTAGTTGAAGCAAATCTGGTTTGAAGAGCCAGACCAGTAGATCTATTTGTTCTGGCAGAATGGCCATTAGCAAAGAAAATGTAGATTCTGTCCTTGTGGCTTCCTGGGGCCACAGCCTGGCTGCTCTGAGGGGGCTTGAGGCTTTGCCTGAAGAAAAAATCCAGAACCCAGATGCTGCCTTAACTGGGCTATTTTGCCATTTTTATTTGCAATGACTAGATTCCTATGAGTTACCCGTATTCCTGGTATTTAACTCCTAATGCAACTAATTTGTGTCGCTATGATTGCAGAGATAAAGTGTGAGAAATCTGTTTTTCTCTCTGCAGTAACCCTCCTCCTTTCTGGCTGTTTGTGTTCTCAGTCCCTCTCCCCTGCCAGTTCCAGTAATCCAGGCGTTTCTATGCCTCATTAAGCGCATCACACTCTGCGGTGCCGGATGTAATCAAGTTCAGAATCTTCTCTCTTTTCTCTCTGAGGACAGGAGGATGGGGCCTCTTGCTCAAGACTCAGTGGAGGCAAAGTGGGCTGGCAGGTTGAGAGAGAGCGGCTTCAGGAGGAGAGCCTTGGCCAGCAGGCTAAGCCCTGCCATGCCCTTGCTGCATGCAGGCCTGGTGGACTTCCCGGAGCAGGGCTCCAGGTGGGCCTTTCAGGTGGTTCGCATACACTCAATAATGCTTACAGACTCTTAGAACAAGTTGCTTTTCCATGAAAAAGCATTTTCATTGCCACCATTTCCAAGGTTGTTGATGATAGGTTTGAAGACCTCTTTTATACAGTTTTTCCATTGTTTTTCAAATTTAGAACAGAGACTTAGAAAGCTGGAAGTAAGCCAGGAGTCCATCTTGCTTTTGTTTTGGCCTTATCCATACAGCAGAGTGTCATTGTTTGTCAGCACCAAAGTTAGGACTAGAACCCAGTCTTCCTTGACCCCAATTCTCATTTTCTCTCTACAGTCACCAGGGCTCCAGGAAGCACAGGGTCTAAAAGCCACTCTGAGCTGGTACTCTTCCTGCATGACCTGTCCTGTCTGTGTGGCTTTCGAAGGGGTGGTAACTAGCATGGGAGAAAGAAACGTATCAGTGCCAACCACTGATTTGTCTGTGAGTATCGCCCACTTACCAAACTGTTCTCTCTCACAGTTTGCCTAATGGCTTCCTGTTTCAACCCACACACCAATCCATTGTTTCTATAGTCTTTGTCTTGTGTGTTCTTTTGAAATAGCTTTTATCCCATTTTCCTTTGTTCTTTACTGTAGATGGGAAATACATGAAAGATGTGTTTGTGTGAGAAGCCTATTATGACTGAGTGTTCCGATGGGTTCACACTGCAGTCAAAAGGGTCTCCAAAGCCAAACATCCAGTCTGTGAGGGCAAACACCAATGCTTGCCTGGGAGTATGGGATGTGTGTGTGTGTGTGTGTGTGTGTGTGTATTTGGGATGTATGAGCACCTGGGCTGTACATGTCAAAGTTGTCCTTTAAAAGAATGGGTTCAGTTTGCAATAGAAGAGGGGAAATGGTATGGCAAACTGATCCAAGCAGACTAATTGTCAATATGGGGCTCCATTCAGAAGGTCACACACCAATATCTTTGATGGTTTGTCAAGTATTGTGAGTTGCATTGAAATAGTAGAAAGAGCTTGTGTGGTATTAATGCCGTATCCTCATCACTTCGAACAGTGCCTGGCTTCCTGCAGATAGGGAGGCTTGGTTTGTTGAGGGAATACTCAAAACACTGGAAACAGAGTGCATAGGCTTAAATCCCAGCTCAAGCATTTATAAGGCTGTATGAGTTGAGTAATCTGCCTCACCTCTCAATGTCTTCCTCTGTACAATCAAGATTAATATAGCACTTATTCTTTAGAGTCATTACATGAAATAAAACATGTAGAACACACAGACTAGTGGCCCTGCACATAGTACGTGGTTGGTAATAACAGAGGACCAGAAAGAACATTCATGGACAGCTGAAGGGTTTGGTCAACTGGACAATATCAGTCTGATCTTTTGTTGAAGCTATTGCCTCTCAGGCATAGTATCAAAGAATTTGGCTTCGTGGGGGCCATGGAGAACATCTTACTGAAATGCTTTCACAGATGAAAGAACCAAGGCCTACTGAGATTGACTTTCCCAAAGCAATTTAGCCAGTGAGCAGCAGAATCTGGCCTCAGAGAGGTTCTGAGACTCCCACTCCAGTCCATCACATTTCATTCCTGACAGCTGAACTCCTCCTGTTCCGGGTATCACCAGCCCAGCCCTCCAATCTCTGCATGTATACACTCATTCATTCATTTAAGAAAATTTCCCTGACCAGCTACTATGTCTAAAATTCTGTGCTCAGCTCCAAGGATCAAACCAAGCATGGTCCTGATGCTCATGGAATACACAGGCTAAAGGGGAGAAAGACTTTAATCAAACAACCTAAATACAATGAAATAAAAGTAAAATTTCAACTGGAAAGTGAAGTATGTAGAGACAAAGAGTCTATCTGTAGTGTTAATGCTGTATCCTCATCACTTAGAACAGTGCCTGGCTTGCTGTAGGTAGGGAGGCATGGTTTGTTGAGTGAATACTAGTGAGTACCCTGTGCAGAGTACAGCGTTCAGAAGCATTATATGAGAGAGGTCAGGGAAGGCTTCCTTCAGGAATAGATGCCAAAGTGTGAGTAGATGTTAAACAAGTGAAGAGACATAGGATGAATTTCGGGGATCAGTGGTGTTGTAGTAAAGGACAGAGGAGACTTTGGAGGAAAGAAAAGCACAGTCCAGTTGAGCAAAAACACTGGCAGCCATACCAAAGGAAGCATGGATAAGATGGGCTGTATCACAAAACTGTTGGCAAATTTCAGTAGCAGCCAGGATGGTTTACATTGACACAAGTTTTCAGTTTGTCATCCCTCTATAGTGAGTACTATCTTATTGATAATTAACAATGACAGTCTGCAGGCCAGGAGATATTATCCCAATTTTAGCTGAGTAAACTGAGGCATGTAGTCTTTGTGAGATGTCAGTGTCACACATCTAAACATAGCATTTGTGGGAGTCTCTCTCTATGACCTTGTTAGTCCTCCCACCAGCCTTCGAAGGTACCAATCCCAGTAACATACATGAGAAAGGTGAGGCTCAAAGGTTAAGCCACTGGCTGTAGCCGGCTAAGGTGGGATGTGAAGTCTTTCCTACAGACTGAATTGTGTTCCCCAGATTCATATCTTGAAGCCCAGCCCCCAATATGTGTTTGGAGATGGGACCTATAAGGATTGATTAAGGTTAAATGAGGTTATAATGGTCAGACCCTGATCTGATAGGATTAGTGCCCTACCAAGAATAAGAAGTCACCCCAGAGAGCCCTCTCCCTCTCTATTTCTATGTCTTTGTCCCTCTCTCCTTCTCTTCCCATACTTGTCCAGAGCAAAGGCTAGATGAGGACAAAGGGCTGTCTACAAGACAAGAAGAAAACCCTCAGCAAAACAGATGATAGATCTTCCTGGCCTTGTTCTTGGATTTCTGGCCTCCAGAACTGTGAGAAAATAAATTCTGTTGTTCAAGACATTCAGGCTGTGGTATTTTATTTTGGCAGCCCTAGCAGACTAATACAGTCTGAGGACACTTTGCTGTTTTTATCTGCCATGACGCGCCTCTTGCTTTAGTTCATGGTAGAGAAAGGTAGTTGTCAGTCCTAGGCTCCTTCTCTTGGCCACATTCCCCACCCTGTCAATCTCACTAACTAGGGGGTAATGGCAGGATGAGTGGCAGTACCCCAATTCTACCCTTTCCTGCTGGTTTTGTCAAGACCTAGGAATGGGCATTCACAGACATCAAGGTGTGGTCAGAGCTAGTGGTGTGGGACTGTCTTGGATCCAGAGCTGTGGAAAGTGACAAGTTTCACAGTTGATTTCTGGTCTGGAAACTTCAGCAGTTACCACTTTCTATGTATGTGATTGAGATTGATCATATTAAAGTATGGCTGGGAGCTTTCTACCTCTGGAAGCAGAGCTGAACACCAGCTGCTGCTTTGTCAAGGGTGCCAGTGAGCAGGTGTGTGTGTGTGCATCTCTCTCTGGTTATCCTTGGGATAAACACCCCAGTATCTGATGGGGGGGTCCAAAGCGGGAGCTCACTCAGCATCTTGTACTCGTGAGTTACATGCACTTCAGTGTTACTTAACCTCTTTGATGTTCCTTTTACTCATCTTTTAAGATGGGGAATAACCAGTCTTCTACAGCACTAACATAATAGCTAGAAACCAGTAAATATTCGTTAAATGTAATATCATTATTATTATTATTAATGATCCAAGTACTTCTATTTTAAAATAAAGTATTTAGACTTAAGTCATTATATTTTTCCCTTGGGGCTTAAAGAATAAAACATTCATACTAGGGACTTCCCTACAGAGACAAACATTTAAAAATCCATTGGGTCTCTGTGCTGGGTTGTTCCTGGTGCAGCTCTGTGCAGAAATAGAATAATACTCATCACTGTTAAAGGCCTCCAAGTAGAAGTGTATTGGTTTTAGGGGGAAACACCCTTTTTCTGAAATATATGATATTTTACCTGTATGAGTGTAAAAGCCATCATATTCTACACACTTGTTACTGAACTGTGCAAACCAAACCCTGAAGTCTATCCACTAAGGAGAAATAAACCGGGGAGGTGGAGCAGGCAGCCTATCTTTGAAGAAGGCTTAAACTCAAAAGCATAAGCATTCAGGCAGGCAGAGGAAGGAAGGAACATGCTGTACCCACCTGCCACTGCTGATGAGGGGCTTATTTCTAAGACACACACAGCACAATGCACACACAATGCAGAGAGAAAACAAGAGACATAGATCACACATTTCAGATGGTTGGTGGACAAAGTTTAGTTCATGTCAATGCTCAAAGCTTGTACGGAGTCTGAGATGCAGGTGGAAAAATGAATACTTTTTCATCCTACTCACCATATGCTCCCCTGTAACCAAAGCTCAGCAAGTAAACAAATACATACAAACAGGAAATATCACAGCAAGCTGGCCCTGGCTCATGGTGTGAAATGTTGCACAAGAAGATGGACACAGCAGCATGGGAAGATTGAGTGAGGGGGAGATAGGGGCTTTCAAGGGGGCCAGTCATGGCTCCGGGGACCTCTCTATCCATATGGGAGGAAAAGTCCTTCAGAGAAGAGTTTGATGCTCCAGCTGTGGACGGAACAGTCACTTTCATGAGGACTCAGACGACTGCTGTATCCTTTCCAATGAGTGAGAGCATAACAGGGTGATCGACATGAGCATCATGGTGGCAGCAGTTCACTTGGTTTAACACCATGAATGTAACCCCCAGAATCATAGATGCTTACTATAGAAAGGATTTTTAAATTATATCTAATTGACCCCTCAGACCTTTAGGCAGTACTGCAATTGAGCTGTTACATGGTTCTTTCTTCTTTATGGCAGCCACCATTCACCTTGCTTCAGAATTTGGCTTATTCCTTTTGCAAAGTGCAAACCTTGCCTTTCAATAGACCAGGAGACAGCAGTCAACTGGCAAATAGCACTGTCTCACGTGCTAGGAGAATGACAGGGAGGAACATTTCATATCTAAGGGTGCGAGGCTGAGCAGCATGGATGGACACAGGCCAAGCAGACTGAGCCGTCCCCCTCTTGAGCCCCTGGAACTGCCCTGCATGGCCTAGCCCACTGCATCCGGGCTTCCTGCACTCACCATACAGTGTTATGCTGGCATTGGTGTTCCCGAGATTGTTTGTGGCCACACAAGTGTAGTTCCCGTAATCCTTTTCTGAAACATTGAAGAAAGTCAGAGTGGATATGCGGCCTTTGTTCTCAATCCTCACGCCATCCAGACCGGTGGCTAGCCTGCAATGAGAAGGTATTGTTGGCCTGGTTCCACAGACAGTAACAGCGGGGAGAAGTGCTAAGAGAACTCAAAGATGCCATAGATCAGTCCTACAAGGGGCTCTCCTCCTCCCAAAAACCCTCTCCTCCACCCAGTGCAGTCCTTCTGTCTCCAATCATGACACCACGGCCTCCATTGGGAAGGAAAAGGAAAGGATGCTCATGCTCTAAAAGCTAAATTTGCTGACCTCTGGTCATTAAAGACTACTACTGTATCAACAACTGATTGGTTTCTGAAACAAGGTCAATTCATTTTGCACACTTTTCAGTTTCCTCAGTGTTCTGTTTCAGGTTCTAACAGGTGACTCTGTTATAAAGGAGGCAGTAATGAGCCTCGGCTTTGCCATTTTTTCCCCCATTACTTTATTATCCTCCTTCTATGCGGGGAAGGATCCATCAGCTCTGCTTCAGACATGTCCTATTTCCATGTTCATGGTACCTGGTGTCTTCCTTGAACCACTGGAATTCAGCCATAGGCACTGCAGAGGCTTCACAGCTCAAGATGCCCTTCTGGCCAACTGACACACCGGTGTTCTTGGCTTTTGAGATATAGGGAGGGTCTGTGGGGGGAAAAGTGCAGAGTGGTTCCATGAAACAGATGAAGGGCACATCCAGTCACCTGCTCCTCAAATGTATTTCTTGTGACACTCACCTTCCAAGTTAAATAACCATTTGATTTTTTTAAGTAATTTATTGCTTAAAAATATTGCATTTACCCCAGAATTCTCTTCAAAAATCAAACCAATTCATAGTTAACAATTCTCCCCAATAGCTCAAAGCTCTGACAGTCACAGGAAGCCTCTCAGCACAAATGGCCATGGAGATGGTGTTGGGCAGAGCAATCTGGTCAAGCACTTTCCTGTTAGAAACAACTTAAGTCTATCAGAAAATGGCCTTGACATTAACTAGTTTGTCCCCTTAGCCCCTATGCCCTCTTTTGCCCTGGAACTTCTGGACAATGGGTCAACTCACAGTTTACAGTAATTTGCACTTTTCGCACATCAGGTGCAGCAACGTCATTGAGGGCACTGCATTCATACTCCCCAGACTGGTCCCGTCTGATGTCAGAGATTTCCAGGTATTCATCCTCACTCACAAAGCCCTGGCCTTCTGGGCGGGAAGGAATGCACAGGAAACAATCAAGAAACTTTGAAACCACAGATAGAATGACATTCACATTTAGAGCTTAGAGGACTGGAAATAGGGAAAGCCATAGACATGGGGCTTGTACACCAGGCCAAAGGTTATAGGACATGTTGGCCTAACAGTATGGCATTTGAAGGATGAAATTCACTGTTTTTGACTTGCATCACTGTGTTTTTGTCCGAGTCGCTTCAACATTTTAGAGCATTTGATAAGAAGGGAATATCATTCTTTTTCTGTCTTATTTTTATGAGGATTAAATAAAAGAGTAATGTGAAATAGCCCAGCACATTCTTAAACTTTGATATTTTAAGGAGAATTATCATGATCATTAATATAGTGAAAAAAATGTGGGGATAACTTTAGGCTGTGTTGATATGGGCATCTTAATTTTTCACTATGTAAAAATGCCTTTGTGTATCAGATGTGAACTACCTACTTGAACAACAAATAAGGGACCATTTGACACTTTAGTAACAAACAGATGCAAAGCAGTCGATTTGGTCTCAAACTGTGCTGGAGAAGACAGAGCGGTGAATGAAGGAATGAAAGAGGAAGCACTCAGTGACTGCTCTGTCAAAGGTGCCGCTGAACATTTGCCAACAGAATAAATGTGATACCCCACATGATAGATCTATGGTTACCAGAAAGCCTCATGGACTTAATACCCGGCTTTGTGAAGTATTCTAGAGGCTTTATTCTTAGGCACTTGTGCAGCTTGGAATTCATGATCCAAAATATTCTGGGGCTGCAAAATGTGCATTGCTTGCAGTCACCATTACATGCTCCTGCAGCAGTCTGGCCCCTCTGCCTTATGCTTTTTCCTACTCCCAGTGGTTCAGTGCAAGGAGAACAGAACCTCTGTGCTCAAACCTAGACATTGCAAGTTCTGTCAAAGCACCAGGCTTCTGTGAAAACCCAGCCAGCACAAAGATCAAGGAAAAAATGAAGCCATTTGCATTTCTTACAGTCTTGCTGCCCATTCCTTTTTCTGCTCCAAGCATTAGAGGGAAATTAGTTTTCAGGGTGATAAAACTCATTGTAACTTTTCTCACAACTCTGTGGAAGCATGTTCTGATCCAATGGGTACTCAGTCAACTAAGCCTGGGACTGCCGTGGGTGTGGGGCAGGAAGGTGGGGTGTCTCCTAGCGGGTGGGAGAGTGGAGGGGCGAGGCATAGGGAGGCAGGTGTTCTGCCACTGTGTCTTTGCTCCAAGGCGAAGCCTCAGGGAGTTTCCACCCCCTCTGCCCACTTCCCCTGACCACAGGCCTTTCAGCTCTTGCTGCCTTCCTTGCCTCCACACCTGCCCCAAGCCCTGCCCACCCAGGCTCTGCTGTCAGTGTCCAGATGCTGGCCAAGGCATCCCTAGAAGGGGTGGGGCCTCAGGCAAATAGTTTTCAAGGCCATTTAAATCATCCCAAGTCATCACCATCCTTTCAGCCCAATCTCATGCTATTCCATGAATGGAATCTGCAATGGCCAGCAGGAGCAATCCCTTTGCCAGGCCACACTCCTGGAACTTGGACCAATCGACCAGGAACCAGGACAAGCCCACAGGTGTGAGTTTTTGGATCTTGGGGGAATCTGGTTAAACCCATGAGAGGAGCAGCTAAGGGCAGAGGTTGAAAAATGCACACCCTGAAGGGGAGAAATGGGTCCATGGGCAGGTCCACACACTCCCAGTCTAGGATGTGAGGGTCTCTCCTGAATGATACCACCAGCCTAGAGTGGTCCCAGGTACCAGGGGTGTCTTATAAAAATTTGAGGAAGATGATGCCGAACAGTGTGCCTCCTGGGGCTGGGGTAGGGCCCTGCTGGCTGGGATCTCAGGTGGCAGTGCTGGTTACAGCCCTCTACCCCATCAGACATTAAATCACTCAGGCTAGTCCATACACCAATTCCTCAAGATTCATTAGAGGGATCTTCTTATTCTTGTTTCCTTATCCCTCTCAGACTTAATAGAATCTCAGAATTGAAAGAGATTTTGAGAGCACTTATTTCAGGAAGTTTAATAAAGGTAAACATGCTGCCATTATTGCAATGGTGCTGGCTGACCAACCTAAGTATTTTTAAGGACTAAACAACAGTGAACTAGACACTCCAAAATGACTTTTCAGATTCACCATACCTTTTCTGCAGTGAATAAATATGGCAGAATTGAAAGTCTGGTTTCCTACTACTAAGACTCCCTTATACTTTCAAAATGTACGACAGTGTGTCACAAGCATTTAACCAAATAAGTGAGCTCCCTGCAGTGGGCCTGGAGAAGCCTCAGGTAGCGACACTGGCCCCCTTTCCTTGGAGAGAATGACACAGACCTATATCATGTTCCTAGGGTCCACCCGACAGATCTCTCACAGGCCTGGATAGGGCAGGTCTCTGAATACAAGCCAGCTTGGAGGTGGCGGCTTGCACAAGGGAACCAGACCAACTCAAAGAAGACAGAGGGCTGTCTCCTGGGACCGTGAGTAATTCTCCACATGTATATGAGTAGATTGATCGTGGGTCCTTCCTGGGAGAATTATGGGACAACAGAGCTACCATGTGGAATGTGGGGATTTATTTTCACTGTCTGTCATGCTGACTTTATAGGACAGTTATGTGACAGCAAAAAAGGACGGAAAGCAGACTGTTTCATGTAAAATGGGGATCGTTAGGATGATACTACCTCATTAAGTGAGAAAATGGGTTTTGTCAAGTTTATACTATAAAGCAAGTGCTTCTCAGATTTTAATTTGCATATAAATTCCTCCAGGATTTAATAAAAAATATATCGATTCTGATTCAGTGGGTCTAGAGTGGGGCCTGGGATGCTGTATTTCTTGCATGTGCCCAAGTATTTCCCTGTGACTGGTCTGGGGTCCCCACTCTGTTGTGACTGCACAGCGCCACCCAGCTCTGGTCTGGGCTCACCCTTGCTCACACATTTATAATTACTGGGTCTGTGAAGTGGCCAGTTGTTCAACAAAGCTTACTGAGTATCCTTTATGCTGAGATCCTCGTGGACCCACCATCTCAAAAGATACCCTTTTAATGGAATATGTGGCTCGGGAGGGCTCACCAAGGATTGGACCCCTGAAGCTAACTTTTCCCATGAGTCTTCATGATCTTACAAAACATGCATCCTCTCAGTTCTCTTTGCTAAAACATCGGATGAGAACGATGGAGCTCCTCTCCATCTCAAGTCCACTGAAGTGACTGAGATGTCATTCCCCTAACTATCTTGAATACAGGGTGAGATTTTTAAAGCAGAACAAGCCTAGGTTGCTAACTGCCTGGAGACCTAGGCAACTGCAGGGTGCAATGCATTCCCTGCCCTCTGCAGTTCTGGTTGTGATCTAAAATTCCCATTCCATGCTGCAGAGAAAGGGCAGAAGGCAACATGTGTGTTAATCCTCGTGGCTACCTGCCAGGAAACCAAACTGTTGCCTGGAGGCACAGGAAGGGAACCAGCGGCATGGAGAGAGCCGTGAGGGAGGCACGGGAAAGGAGGGGGCGTGGCCGGTGTGAGGTAGGAGCAAAGGCAGGCAGGGGTTCAGCTTGGGTCGCCTTAGAAAGATTCTGAAGACACACTCAAAAAGGATTAAAAAAAGAAACAGAATACAAGATGGCAATATTTCCTCAGCAGAATGTATGAAAACAGGAGTGCCAAGGCAGCCCCACAGTTTTGTTTTATGGAGAGAGGCCCTGTAATGAGCCAATGACCACAGGCATTCCCCGCCAGCCCTGTGCATCCAGACATCCCGGTACAGCATGGTCAGAAGCAAAAGGAAGTGGACTCTGAAACACTGGCAGAAATATATTAAAGACATAGAGGTTATTCTCTGCACAGAGGAGTGCTTCAAAGAAGGTAAGTTCAATTCACTGTATTAGCAAGATTATGATCTGCAAGGATATAGATGGGGCCATTTATCAGGGACGTGGGAGGTCCCAGGACCAGGGGCCCTCAGATGCAGGGTGCATGCTCGGGCACAGAGTAAGCCCCCTGGTTCTGTGGGCACAAGGGTTCTGTATATGCTGACTTAACACAGTCACAGAATGCAAAGGAAAGCCATGTCCAATGCTCCTGCTTAGAAATGGAGGTGCCGTCGAAACACTGCCTTGGGGACTGGATCCTGGCACGGCTGCAGTGATTGGCTCATAAGACCACAAGAGAAGCATGGAGTTAAACACTGGGTGGGCAGTGGAGGCGGGGTGGAGACAATGTGGAAGACAAGGTCCTTGACCTTGGGTAGCCTGGAGGCTCAGGAGCCCAGACTGGAGCAGTTTGTATTTTTTTGTTCCCAAAGCTCAGCTTTTTAGTTCTTAATTATTTTTAGATCCCTCAGGGAGGGTATAGTAGGTCAGAAAGATTTATTCAAGCTAGAAGAAACCTAGGCATTTGGGAATGAAGAGATCAAACAGGAAATCCAGAGTGAGCCCTGGAGGCCCCCTGACCTACTTCCTCTCCTTTCTTTACGCCTTCCCGTCCCATCCTTCCAGCCTTATCCCTTCCATTCCCCATGTTCCCTTCTTTCTGCTCAGGCAATTCCTTAGACGTATAGAGCTGGAGGTACCAGGGGGCGTCCAAGATTTCAGGCTCCCACCTTCTTGCATCCTCATCCCTGGCAGAATGCTTTCCCGTCTGTGCGACCACCCCGGGGGGTGATTTCCAGGGGGCGTGGCCTATGCTTTGGCTAGACATTTCACACTGCCTAAAAAAGCCATTGTCATTGTGAGATAAACCCTTTCTGTGTTCTCCCTTTGAGATGATTCTAAGTCACTGCCTGGGTGCCCCCAGCCCCACGGTCCTTCCTCATATGCCACAGGAAACCGCTGCTCTATCTAGGGAAGCTGCTTTGTGAGGTTAAATGTCAGCACCTGTCACAGCTTTTGCCGTGACACCTGTCAGGAGGTGACTCGCAGTGGCACAGGCCTGGGGGCGGCTGCCTCAGAGGACGGGAACAGGAGGAGGAGAGCAGAGAGG